GCTTATTTACATATTTATTTATTCGCTCAATGTTTGCATTGCTTATATACAGCCTGTCACAATTTTCTATATTCTCTCCTTTGTTACTTTCTCTTTTTTTTCTTTTATTCTTATAAGCCTTGAGTGCCAGAGTGAATTATCAAAATCATCACTTCTCATTCATTCATTCAGTCACTCCTCTATGCTTTCTTTCTCTTAGGTATTGGTACTTTTATGGATGAACCTCGATGTTTGCCATTTACGAGATTTAATGAATAATATTTATTCATTCTGTTTCGCTGCTTATCGAGGAAGTGCTTTTCCCTCCATATGTCTGTTTTAATTTATTTCCCTACACCTTTTTTCTCTCATTCTTTCCATTTTGCAACTCCTTGCAGCCTTATGCATCATTTATTTTTTTCATCCAGTCTTTTACTGGGGATATTTTTAAATTATCAATATTTATACACATCAAGGGCCAGGCTCCATGGCTCATGCCTGTAATCCCAACACTTTGGGAGGCCAAGGCGGATCACTTGAGCCCAAGAATTTGAGACCAGTCTATGCAACACAGCAAGACCTTGCCTCTACAAAAAAATCAGGAAAATAAGTCTGGCGTGGAGTCCCAGCTACTTGGGAGGTTGAGGCAGAAGGATCACCTGAACCCAGGAGTTCAAAGCTGCAGTGAGCCATGATCATGCCACTGGGCTCCAGCCTGGGAGACAGAATGAGACCCTGACTCAAAAAAAAAAAAAAAAAAGAAAAAACAAGGCCACAGATGTGAACCAATGTGGGTGACTTATGCTAAGCCAATCCCTCTGAGTAGACTTCAATGCTAGCACTGATTACTTATCACCTCTCGCACTTCATTTTTTTCCATTCTCATTTTTCCCCCGTCTTATTGCTTCTTTCTCTCACTCACTCTTTCTTTCTTTGGAGATCATCACGCAGGACCGGAGACCCTAACCTAGATCTCTACAACACCCTCCTCATTGGTCAACGCAAATCTTTCTTCCCATTCCTTCATTCGTGCATCCATTCAGTCTTTCTATTTAAATACTTATTTTTACCTTTGTAGACAGCAGGTGCACCTGACCGGATACATCACAATCTGCCATCCATGAGCCCTGCCCTCCTCGGACCCAAGAAGACCTCCCCGACAGAATGATGCTCTGACTGCTCCCTGGTTGGGTGGGTGGTCACCCATCTCAGAAGCAGGAGGGGAATGGACCAGCATTCTTGGTTCGTGCGTGCTGTCATTCCTCCTAGTATGGCTCTCTCGCATGTCCGTGTTTATCTATTTGTTCGTTAACATACTACATTTCTTCTTTTCTAGCTAGTTTTTTGTTTGTTTGTTTGTTTGTGTCGGAGTCTCACTGTGTCACCCAGGCTGGAGTGCAGTGGGCAAAATTACAGCTCATCACAGTCTCGACCTCCTGAGCTCAGCCTGCTCCACCTCCACCTCAGCCTGCTAAGATGAGGTCGATGTTGACCAGGCTAGTCTCAAACTCCTGGTCTCGAGTGAACCTCCCGCCTCAGCCTCCCCAAATGCTAAGATTACAGGCATGAGCCACCACACCCAGCTTTTTGACATCTCTTTCCACATTTTTATTCTCTATCACTCTCTCTCTTTCTTTCTTGTATCCTTTCCACCTTTAGAGCTCAGTTGCTTTATAAACCGTAAATTCATCTGCCAACACCCAGCCTTGGGCCATGTAGCTCAGTGTCTTCATTCATTAATTCCTTCTTTCATTCACACCATTCACCCTTCCTGCTTGATTTTTTTTTTTTTTTTGAGTTGAAGTCTCACTCTGTCGCCCAGACTGGAGTGC